TCTTCATTAAGATCACTCAGTCACATTACTCACAATAAAGAAAAACAAACCTTCCATCTTCATTAAGATCCACACTCAGGCTACTCACAACAAAGAAAAACAAACTTTCCATCTTCATTAAGATCACTCAGTCACATTACTCACAATAAAGAAAAACAAACCTTCCATCTTCATTAAGATCCACAGTCAGGCTACTCACATCAAAGAACAAAAAACTATGTTTCGTTTTATTTACAATCTGTGACATTATTCTGATGTTTGTGTTCGACTCGTCAAAAATTAGAATTTGTTTGTTCGTTGTTAAGCCCAAAACTACACAATAGGTTGTCTGCGCTCTGCCCAGTACGGATATCTTGCAGACTTATCACTGAACCAATATGAAAATAAGACCCAAAACTCCTATAGTTTTTTTTCTGTTTACATAGTTTGCTCATTATGCATACATAAAATATGAATGCTGAATTCTCTTCTTCAGATTTAAAAATATCAAATATTTTTCTTTATACTGAACATTATGCACCCGTAGAACATATCTACAAAATTTATTTCATCGGTGTTACCTACTTTTAATTTTAAAGTCTCTTAAATTTTTCTAGGGAATTAAACAACATTTTCAGCATCCCAAATTTGTGTGCAGCGATAAAAACAAATGGTCAAAATACTCTTTTTCTTAGTGATTCGAATGTGGAGATGAAAGTTTAGTGTTCACATCTTTGCAAAGTTTAGTTGTTAAAAATGCAGAATCTGCTTTCATACGGTTTTCAAAATTACCCGTATTTCGTCATTTTTCTAACGCTGAGGGAAGAAAATCCCAAACGTAAACACGCCAGTGAAGTAGCGAACGCTGGACGTTGCGTTTGCAACGCGACCACCTAGCGACCTCGTCCACCGGATCTTCAACTAATTAATCTCGTGCAAATTTTACGATTTACAGCGCTATCGGCGTGAAGCAATGCATTTAATCCGCGTCTATTTAGGTGAGGCAGTTACTAACTTCTTTTTAGTTGTAATTAACCATTTATTCTTGAAAGCATGCCAAATCAGTCGTGGATGAGAGAAAGCATCAAGAAAATAAAAACCTCCTTTTCTTCATCCGGTCACGCTCGTTCTTAAAGCTCATTTCGCATAGCTCAGCTCAGAACGAGTGACATTCGGTGTCACCGCTACTTCCGGTTCTTCCTGACACTGTGTCGTCGTTAAAGGTAACACACTTTCGAGTAGTAGGTAATCTAGTTGATAATGCGTGTGATATAGCTTATTATTTCACTGTGTGAGTTGCTTATATTTAAAGGTCTAATTAAACAGTGATTACAGTGTAAATGTTTTGGGTTGATGTAACCCATAAAAATATATGAAGTTCGTCGAAAAACGCTTGAGCAAAATAATAATAATGATAATCTTATTATAATGGAGCTTGCGATGTATACGTTCAAAACTCTGAAACCGCCGTACCGATCATCACCAATCATAACTGGGTAATATTTTTATAGCTGAGCAATATATAAAACAATAAGAATTACAAACAAAAATTATATGTTTCAGATTTAACCAATAAAAATTACAAAAAAATAAGTTTCAAATATAGAACAATCAAAAAACAAACTTAAAAAAATATTTGTTTTCCTTTAGTGAAAATCTCATGAGTGTTGCAACAGAAAAGCAAGCCATTTCATTGATAACTGCGTCTACAAAGAAATACTTCAATGAAATCTACTCTGTGATGTAATGCTGTGATAATAACTCATTTTTAACAATAATTTAAAGAGAATCCATTTTCTCATGGATGTTGAACATTATTGAATGTCAAGTATGAGTACATTGTTACAGAACTGTCAGACAATTCCAGAAAAGGCCACAGGCCCAATAGCCTTCCCCAGGAACTAGCGGTTATAGCTGCCCGGAGGGTGGGAATTTCTAATGGTAGTAATAATAATAGTAAAAGAAGAGGAAAAAGCCAGAATTTTTTGTTTTAGCCTAAGAAATGGGTGATACCTCTTAAACAATACAAAAAAAAAACCAAATGACATTATTCATATTGCATCATTTATTCAGGTGCTACAAAACTGAATTTTCATTCCGTTTAGCTCCTATTTCACCACAATGCATTTTGTTCAGTATAACTACGTAATGATTATTAGGTGCGTTAGTGGCAAACCTGAATGAAAATTCGGCTTTATAGCACCCGAATAAAATGATGCAATATGAGAAATACCAAGCTCCTATTTTATTATGTTTATGAGGTATCACCTACTGTTTTAACGAAAGCAAGATTTGGCTGTCTTGTTTACTCAAGCATTTTTGGTTAAATAATCCTTATCCTTTCTTTTTTATTTCTATGGGCACATACAGCTTCTCTCCATCCTTTTTCGATTTCTTCTGCTTCTTCCTAAGGTCGACAAGTTTTATTGTCCTTTGTCATTATACCTCTTCCTCTACTGATGGTAATTTTCCTTCCAAAAATCTTCCTTCTAATCTTTCTTGCAGCATTCTCGTCAATTCCCAAACCATCTGTTGTGATTATCTGCATTCTACTACTTTCCCTACTAATATTTCTTGAGGCATTCTCATTAGGTGGCCAAATCCTCTATTACTGGTAGTTTTCACTCCATAATTCTTTTTACCGATCTCCCTTGAGGCATTCTCATTAGGTGTCCAAACTCTCTGTTGCTGGTAGTTTCTATTCTACTGCTCTTTCTATTAATTTCTCTCTGGACATTCTCGTTAGATCCCAATCCATGTGAGCCGTTTCTCTGCAACAACAAGCTTATTGGGACTTGCTGTGTTTTGCGTCTTTTTTCATCGTCTATGATTTTGTCTTACCATTTGATGAACCCGATGTGTCACTTGTCTTACTATTTGATGAACCCGATGCGTCACTTGTCTTATCTTACCATTTGATGACCCCGATGTGTCACTTGTCTTACCATTTGAAGTACAAGATGTGTCACATTTGAAGTACAAGATGTGTCACAAGCATCTTGAATAAAACTTATCCAATTGGATCTTCAGTGATTTTCTTATTGTTTAAGTTTCTCCTCCATAGAGTCGTTTAGAAAGAGTTATTGTGAACCTTTATTTTTAATTTTATTCCCTTAATACAGCACTCCATAATTAGCTATGATCTTGCAGGCCACACTCTGTCCAAGGTGTCAAATTCTTTTCAAAGTCTAATGTATTAGTTATAGCTGGTGTCATATTTTCTATTGTCTAATATTATTCCCTGAAACCTCCTCTCACTCAATAGCTGTTTTAATACTCAAGAAAATCATTTCACTGAATACTTTCTCTGGAATTAAGGGCAACACAGCTCTTCTTCAGTTGTTGCACCGAGTTAGGTTTCCGTTTTTTGTATACTTTGATTGTTATAAATTTTCTGTGGTACGAAGGGAGCGTTACTATATTATTTTCTGTGGTACCTAGGGAGCGTTACTATATTATTTTCTGTGGTACCTAGGGAACGTTACCTTATTATTTTCTGTGGTGCCTAGGGAGCGTTACTATATTATTTTCTGTGGTGCCCTTGGAGCGTTACTATATTATTTTCCGTGGTGCCTAGGGAGCGTTACTCTATTATTTTCTGTGGTACCTAGGGAGCGTTACTATATTATTTTCTGTGGTACCTAGGGAGCGTTACTATATTATTTTCTGTGGTGCCTACTATATTTTTCCACGTATCATTGAATAATCATACCCAGCAAGCTTGTGGACACGTAACACAAAACTTTAGAGTTCGATATCGGCAGGGGATACATCGCAGATAGTATATTGTGCAGTCTTGCTCATAAACACAAACAAAACAAAGAAAGAACACATACAAATCTAATATAAAACCATGTTAGTAGTTTTGGATTAAAAGTGTGATTTCAGATGCTGTATAAGTGAAGCATTTCCAGTAGAATTATGCATATATAATTAGGTTGTATGAGCTGTTTTCTTCTCAACTCTACACAGAGTTTGGAGCCGTGACCAGCCCAATGGTTAACGTGCTGGACTACAGATTTGTGGGTCCAGCGTCCACATCCCAGTATAGCAGAAAAAATCGCACTTTGCACCTTAAGGCCGTGGGTGTGTTATAAGAGTAACTGTTAATTTCAATTATTCGGTCTTACAAGAGTAGTCCAAGAGTTGGCAGTGGATGGTGTTCACTAACTACCTTCCCTCACTTCAAAATTAGGGATGGCTAGTGCACATAAATCTCGTGTATCATTAAATGAAATTCAAGAAATCAAACAAAAACTACACAGTAAGATGGATTTAAAACGATGAAAGTATTGATAAATTTATACGTTTAGGTTTCGTCAGATGAATTTAGCAATTTCAATCTGAGACGATTAGAATAATCTGTTTCTATTCATATTGGGTAGGTTTGCAAATTGTTACATCATGTGGCCATGAACGAGGCTTTACAAGTGTCTTCCAAGCACGTGGACTATTGTCTCAAAGTCTACGGAGCCCAGGTAAGCACCATTAGCAAAGTAATTAGAATACCTAGGACCCCAATCTTTTACCCACAGCGAACACTACAAACAGTTAATCGAAGACGTGTCAATAAATCACGTGGAAGGATTCTTGATTAATCGTTTAATGTTTCAAACTATGTGACCAGCTTATATATATTCCTCTTTAACTTGTCTGTCTTGAAGTTCAAATACTAGTAGTTGTGTCAAGTAACAATCTTGTAGTCCAAATACTAGTAGTTGTGTCAAGTAACAATCTTGTAGTCCAAATACTAGTAGTTGTGTCAACTAACAATCTTGTAGTTCATATACTAGTAGTTGTGTCAAGTATCAATCTTGTAGTTCATATACTAGTAGTTGTGTCAAGCATCAATCTTGTAGTTCAAATACTAGTAGTTGTGTCAAGTATCAATCTTGTAGTTCAAATACTAGTAGTTGTGTCAAGTAATAATCTTGTAGTTCATATACTAGTAGTTGTGTCAAGTAACAATCTTGTAGTTCAAATACTAGTAGTTGTGTCAAGTACAATCTTATAGTTCAAATACAATCTTGTAGTTTAAATACTAGTAGTTGTGTCAAGTAACAATTAGACTTGATTAAATTTTATGATTAAACTAAGTTTATTAATTAGTTATGTTATATTACAGTTTGGTTTATTTAGGTTATCACTTGATATATTTAATCAATAAGTAATGAAAACTTTAAATAAAGTTCTCTTATTGAACAGCATTTTTTTCTTTACGAGAAGAGCTGTGAACATCGCGAAAAATGTAAATGTAGCGGGAAATGGTGATTGAAGAATAATGAACAAACGGTTCACCCCAGGATGATAATTACGTTTTTCTTACATTTCTCTTAATCATTCTTTAACAGATTTAAAAACACAATTTTGTATAGATAGCACTTAACATAACATTTTTCCTGCAAACATAAAAAAAAAAAACATCAGCCAGGCTGAGTCTATAGCAAAATAATAAAATATTTGAAATGTTATTTGTGTGCATTTAAGAAATAATAATAATGTATTAGTATATGGGTCGTTTCAAGACTAACAGTTGTTATGTAAAATTACATTGACAGTCTTCCTCTTACATTTAATTTAATCAGTTCCTAAATATTTCAATTCAAGAACACGTGAGTGTGCAAAAATAGTATTTCACATACACAAATTGTCTGCTGCAAGTCGTTACTGAAGAGGCCTTTTGTTTAAGAAACAGAAATCATCATCTGGGCTGGACTGTGATAACTAAATGTATCTTATTAATTTATTTAAACATGACACATCCAACCAGCACGAAAGTAAAGGAAATTTCGTGAAAATAAGACAAAGCTATTATATATAATACTGTTATAAAATATGGTACGAATTTAACGTTAGTATATTTGCAGTTTAGCTGTTTACTGATGAGAAGTAACAAATGTTTAAAGTACTTCTTAAAGTAGTTATACAATCAGCACAATTAACAATATTTCATTTGATTGCTTACTTAAACCGTTAATTGAAATTTAGATGAAATAAAAAAAATAAAAATTAGTTGATGCGTCTCTAAAATTTTCTATGCTTGCTTATAGTTTCTAGAAATTAGTTTGGAAACTAATACTTCCTTCAGGAGCTTGAGCTATGTTACTGGAATATTGATTCTTTTGATCAAGATCAATGCTTAACTGTACATTGTTATCTACTTTTGATAAGCACCTGCCAAGAAATGATAGAAACAGGCATAAACTAGAGTATGTTGCGCCTCCTACACTGTGTTATTAGTAGCGATAAGGCTTATCACACTGCGGCTTTGCATCTCTCTCTCCGGCAGGTCCTGAATGCCTGCCACACCCTCTACCTGCACCCCACTAGCAAGATTGCCAGGGAAAACTTTGACGTCTTCTCAGATATGTGGCAATCACTGGTGAATGACGTAGCAAGCATATCTTGTGATATTGCCGAGATGTATCTTGGAAAAATCCCTCAGAGGCCGCCGGAAAAACCTCCTGAGAAACAGCCAGAGAAGCTACCTACACCACCAGCTTCTACTTCTCAGACAAAGCCCGTTGTAAGTTCTTGGCTTTTCTGATGATTCCAATTATTTTATCCAAAAATTATCCACATGAAATGTATATGCATGTAGAGTAAAACTATACATTTGGGCGATTAGTTGACGATAGACATTTACACGTTTAAACAACTATTCAATTATCCTAACTAGAATCACTATAAATAAATGGACAACAAACATCCGCTACAAACTTTATTGAATAAAAAGAACGAAAAAATAATACTAGGTACTCGAGCGTTTGTCAGATTTAACCGACACAACTGTTAACTCAGTATTTAAAAACGTTTGTCAGCTTTAACCGACATAACTGTTAAATCAGTATTTAAAAACGTTTGTCAGCTTTAACCGACACAACTTTTAAATCGGTATTTAAAAACGTTTGTCAGCTTTTACCGACTCAACTGTTAATTCGATATTTGAACGTTTGTCAGATTTAACCGACGCAACTGTTAATTGGGTATTTGAAAACGTTTGTCAGATTTAACCGACACAACTGTTAACTCGGTATTTGAAAACGTTTGCCAGATTTAACCAACGCAACTGTTAACTCGGTATTTGAGCGTTTGTCAGATTTAACCGACGCAACTGTTAACTCGATATGTGAACGTTTATCGGTATTTAAAAATGTTTGTCAGATTTAACCGACACAACTAATTCGGTATTTAAAAACGTTTGTCAGCTTTTACCGACTCAACTGTTAATTCGATATTTGAACGTTTGTCAGATTTTACCGACTCAACTGTTAATTCGATATTTGAACGTTTGTCAGATTTT